TTAGGATTTTAGTGGCTTGGGATGACAGGTCCATGGTACCCTAACCTGGCTTCCTATGCCTCTTAGAACTACTCCTCCCTTTTTTTGACTACATCTATTGAGTCATGTCTGCTCCTTTGACTTCATTGATATCGTTTTGACGGCTCAATGTTGATAAATTGTTGTTTTTTTGGGATACGATGATTTTTCCTCTACCCTTGCAACCTGGACGTGCTTTCATGCGTAAGGATATCTCCATCAAAATGATGATGGTTATTTGATAGGTTTTGTATGTTAAGGAGCTGCTACCCATTTGGAATGTGAGAGATTCACTCTCCACTAGATGGCTTAGTGTGAGCTTCGAAATATTGAGACTTTCCTATATGAAATAACCAACCTTTGTGGACCTATTTCGCCAAAATCATGATATTAAAAGCCAAACCCATTTATTAAAAGTGTTCTTGGGTATCCCCCAAGATGTAATCAACTAGTAGTGATACATCCCTCTGAGAGACTCTTGACCCCATAATAAGTTTTTTTTGGTTCTCTGGTTATGGAGGGTTTATATAAGGATTCTCTTCGTGGATGTTGTGTTTCGTTTTATTTCAATTCAATCTTATTAGGATGTATACTCTCAACCCATCACACAAGGATTACCCATATGTAAGCCTTCTGTCTAATTTCTTTTAATTTTTTTTTGTCTATTTGTTGTTGCATGCCTTTTTGCTATTTGATTTCTCTCCTTTTCGAATCATTTTTATGGTTCAGGAGAGAGATTTATTTGAATAGAGGAATTATACGACGACATATAAATTGGCAAGTTGGCGACTTCGAGATGCTAAAAAGAACTGAGAAAAACAACCACAAAGAACCTTCTCATACATAATATAATGATATGTGATTTATATAACATAGTATTTCAGATTTACCTCATATCAATTATTCCAAACTTACTTAATATTTGCACGCAAGTACTCATATATCTCAACAAGGATTAAAAGATTTTGGAGTTCTCATGTGGCCTCCTAATTATTTAATTGGATTATAAAAGTGTTATAAGATTTTAATATAAGTGATGGGGGTAGTCATTTTTATAACAGTTAAGTTAAAATGTTTTTAATGAAATATGATAGTTGATACACAATTGTTATTACTTATCAACCCTTGAAAAGCGACCAGGTTAAAATTTGTAATATGGAGATTAAAATATTTTAGAAAAATGAATAAATTCCAATAGGAAAGATTGGGCGCTAAAGCTAGATGATGTTTTATAGGGATCTAACATATCCTATAAATTGCTTTTTTGGAAGTCACGATTGATTACTTTATGTAAAACTTGTCACTTGCTCCTTGAGCTAGAGCATTTAATTTTTTGAGCTATTAAGAATTAAATTTTAATATGAAAGACATTAAGGATCAAACAATTCTATAAATAAATGAATTAGATGATACTATACTTAAAGTACATGAAAATGCTCGAATTTATCAAAAAAAAAAAAGGAATTGACTTGATTGTTTGATTCATAGGAAAAAAATTACTATAGAAAATAAATATTACTTTTCAATTTATGATTAAGAATAATTTCAAGAAAATTGAAATTTAGATGATTTGGATCTCTTAGTGTAGTGAGAGTATATGTTTATGAGGAAAACTTCAAACCCAAACTCTAATTTCACACTTTTAAGGTTAAGGATCAATGGTTAAACCCTATCTAGGAAGTGATTTATATAGAGATAAAAAGCTAATTGTGTTTATTCATCTTTAATGATAGAACTTATATTGACAGGTCTAAGGGAGTTAAACTAAGTGCTTTTTGGGAAGCAAATCAAGTGTTACTTGTGATTTGATTGCATTGTCATTAGTGTTTTAGTATTTGTGTGATTGTACTTTATGTGATTTTATATATTACTTTGCATATCACCCCCAATTTAATAGCCAAGAAAAATTTATAATAAGTAGAGTACTTAAGAAAAACCAGTTGATCCTATTTAGAAAAGATTTGACAGTGAAGCTAGATGACACACTGTATGCATATAAAACATAAAACAACATATAGATTGTTTATTGGGATGTCACGATATTATTTAGTTTATGGAATGTCTTGTCACTTGCCCCTAAACTTGAACATAAAGCCTTTTAGGCTATTATGTAATTTTATTTTATATGAAATCTATTAATGATGAATTATTACTACAAAAAAAAATGTTAGATGAAATTAAAAGTGAAGCATATGAAAATTCTCATATTTTTAAGAAAAATATTATGAAATTTCATCATTGTAAGCTTCATAAGCATTAATATACCTCCTAGATATGAGGTTCTACTACTCAATTCAAGATCAAAAGTATTTACAAGAAAATTAAAATTCAGGTAGTTTCAACAATTCAATGTAGTTAGAGTAACTCCTTATTTGATAGCAGAACTTTAGCATTTTTTTAAACTCATCCTAATGATTTAAAATTGATTGTCAAAGGTTGAAACCCTATCTAGAATGTGATTTTGGTCAGGAAATGGAGTTGATTATAATAAGTCATCCCAGTGATAGAACTTTGATTGTTTGGCTGGGGAAATTAAACTAAGCATTTCTTGGGAAGAAACCCAAGCATATTCTTTTGATTTGATTGCATGTTTGCTTTGATTGAGTTCTTGTGTGATTGTATCAAGTATAATATGGCATTCTTTGAATTTCAATGTTGTTTTTTATGAATTTAGTGTGGTGCATTGATGATACCCTATAGCGCTCTTGCTTTCTTAAAGATTCATGATAGCATCATAGCGTCAGTTGAGGTTACACCACAACACATGCTCTATAGTGTCATAACACAATAGAGTCATAACACCTAGGGAGCGGTCGAAACTAAATGCCACACAGAAAAAAATTAGCATATTTTTAACGATCGGGAAACCAACATCACACCACAACACTAACCCTCAACATCGTAGCACAAAAAAACAAATATTTTATTGAAGGCCTACTATTTTAGGAGTGATTTGATTTGAATTAATTGTGTTTGATCAAATTTGGACCTAACAAAATAGTGCTCCATTATTAGAATTGATGGTGATTGATCATAGCAACTAGAAGAGAAATGGCTATCAAATGTTTTTTACTAGGTCAAGCCCCAGTGTCGTGGTGCCACGCTATGATGCTGCATTACCAATATATATATATATATA